GCGTTGCCGTTGCCGAAGCCTGTGTCTGTGCCAACCAGGACACTGACAGTCGCTGCTACCGGTGCCGCCCTGGCCCCCGGTGCCACAGGCAAAACCTCTTCAGGGTGCGGAGGTGACGGAGGCGAAGCCATTAGCTTAATGAGCTCCTGTGCCACCTCAAAGGTCTCCAGGGTGTATGGGCAGGGCGCAGGGATCGGCCCCGGACTCTGGCCACTTTGAGGGCCCTTTCTCCTCCTCTGTGCACCAGTGTTGCGACTGCCTCTGGGAGAGTCTGGGCACAGAGACAGAGGGCGGTGCCGGCTGCCATGGGCCTTGCAGCTAGGCGATCTGTCTCTAGCTTCCTTCCTCTTCTTTGGTACCGGAAATTGAGACTGACACTGAGGTCTTCAGTGCCACGGTACAGGAAAGCCCTGGTTGAGTGTCCCGTACTGACACACTGCAACCTCGCAGGATGGTGCCGGTTGAAGAGCTGACTCCATAAGCAGTAATTTTAAGTGGGAGTCTCTTTCCCGCTTAGTGCGAGGCTTAAAACTCCTGCAGATCTTACAGGAGTCAGAGAGATGAGACTCTCCCAGGCACTTTAGGCAAGAGTCATGGGGGTCTCCTCTTGGCATCGGCTTAGCACAGGACACAGAGGGCTTAAAGCCATGTGGGCCTGGCATCCCTCTCCCCTGGAGGAGAAAGGTAACGAACTGCAAACTAGCTAACTACTTAAACTACGAACTCGAAACACAAAGAAAAACTACCAACGGGCTACACTAACTCTCGCTGGGATCTGTCCGAAGAACAGAGAAGCTCCAACAACCATCACAGGCGGTAAGAAGGAACTGAGGAGGGAGCGCACTGGCGGGGTAAATATGCTCCGCTATAGCGACGCCACTCCAGGGGGCGAACTGTCGGCCCAATGGGTACCTCTAGAGGGAAAAAAAAGCTCCAGGAACCATGCACACGGCGCGCACACCTCATTCGAATGGACACGGGCAATCACTTGAAGAAGAACCACACTTATCCATTGTGTTTACATCAGGTACGGTGATAAGTGAATGGTTGAAAAAAAATGTATTTTTAAGAGATGCAAGTACTACTAATTTTATGCCATACACAATTCGGAAGTTTCTAGAGCATTTAAATAATTTAAGTGTCATGAGCTTCTCTTTTTAAATTTCATTTGAACCATTAATATTTAGATCGTTTCAGTACAGATTAACTCTGTGCTCACCTCCTGTGGATGGTAGAGTCTGGAAAGAAAATAACTGATTACATGTCAGGCTGGAATGTAGCCGCTGCACATAGCTGATTGGAATTAAGTCCTATTTGTCATGATGAGAGTATTTGGGGGGGGGGTGTATGTGGGAGGAACAAAAAGTGTAGGCATCGTCTTACCCCAAAACCAATGATGATTAATAGATAAGTTCCTCCAGCAGTATACCTGCCTAAGCAGATTTGAACCCATGTACATTTATACATACAAAGTCTGCCTAACGCACATGAGATCAAGACTGAACTCTATACTACAGCATGAACACACAGTTCCAAATTTCTAAGTAAAATAAGTCAACTATTCAGTCAAATGTTTTAAGGTACCTTTTATTGTTGTAAGGTTTGTTCTGACAGATTTCAGGTGACAAATAATATGGTGTTCCTATACAAGTGCGAGCCAGCTCTACGGTACTAGAATAAAAAAGGAAAACTAAAATTGAATGTTACTAGCTTACGTAAGTTATGTATCATGCAGCATCCATTTTTGCTAACTCATACTACTCATATTAATGTACATGGAACAGAACTGACTGAGCGTTACCTGTTAAGGACTCTAGCTATTCCAAAGGCTCCCAGTTGTATTGTTCCATCTTTGGTTAAAAATATATTCTAAATATAGGAGGAGAATAAAAAGTCAGTTACAATTCATATGTAAGAACAAAAGCATTAAATTGTACAAAAAAGTTAAAGGGGAATACTGAAATTTTACACTGTTTCAACAACCTGCAATCCATTAGGGATAGAGTTGGATTGTTGTTGATTTTAAAATATTGGCATCTCTGTATAAACACTATTACGCAACTGGGAGGGAGATTGAAGGGAAGCCTAACATTAAGTACCTGCCTCACTTTATCACCAAAGAGTCAAAACATTTCAGTTCTATCTACTGTACCTTCGAAATAAAACCAAGTCAGAGAAAGTACCTTTTAGACCTTGTCTACATTGACATTCTAAATAAGGAGGTTACTCATCTTCCTCTAACTGACATTCTTCGAGATGAGGAACCTGAGGAACCCTGGGGGTGCTTCACATTAGGTGCTGAGCAGAGGAACCCTGGGGGTGCTTCACATTAGGTGCTGACCACCCCAACGATTCTCGACAGATTTTTCTCAGCAATGTATTGGGGGCCGCGCATGCACCACGCGCGAACCTCCCACGGTACTATCACAAAGGCGCAGCCCCCCTCCTTTCAGTTCCTTCTCTATCCGGAACCTGGCAAATAATATATTAAGATGTTATCATAAGGGCATTCCAAAGGAGAGGGGAGGAAGGGAAGGTAGTGGAGCACCTTCAGGGACGCTCATCTCGAAGAACGTCAGTTACAGGAAGGTGAGTAACCTCCTTTTCTTTGTCGAGAGGTGTCCCCGGGGGTGCTCCACATCAGGTGACTATAAGCAATATTTTCTTATGGAGGCAGGGACTTCGGATCAGGTAAGTATGCCGTTTGTAGTACAGCCTTTTCTAGTCTGGTATGCTGGAGGGGTCCTGAGGTAAGTGCATAATGTTTTGCAAAGGTGTTTTCTGACAACCACATGGCTGCTGCACATATATCATGCAGTAGGATTTTTCTCAGGTAAACAACAGATGTAGCGACTGCCCTTGTTGAGTGTGCCAAAATTGGAACTGGCGAAGGTAGGTCGTTTAGCGAATAACAAGTAGCAATGCATTCTGAGATCCAATGTGACAATCTCTGTGATTAAATTTCTTTTCCTTTACTATGATCTGCGATGGAGACGAAAAGTTGGGAAAAGGATCTGAAAGATTTTGTTCTGTCGATATAGAAAGAGAGAGCCCTTCTGACATCTAGGGTGTGCATCTGAGCTTCAAATGCATTAGCGAGGGGTTTTGGAAAAAAACACTGGTCAGTATATTGTCTGTTTCAAATGGAAAGGGGAGCGCACCTTGGGGAGGAATTTTGGGTGCGGTTGCATCATGACCTTGTCCTTAAAAAAAAGACCGTGAAAGGTGGTTCTGCCATCAGGGCGGCCATCTCACTCACTCTGCAGGCTGATGTTATTGCTACCAAGAATGCCATCTTTAAGGATAGATAGAGTAGAGAACATGTTGCCATGGCGGTTCTGTGAGGGTTGTTAATACCAAGTGTAAGTCTCAAGCTCTTGAGAGGGTGCCACCTCTGGGTATAGAGCCTGCAGATGTTTCAAAAATCGCTTGGTTACCGGGTGTGCAAAGACTGTGGTGTCTTCCACTGTTGCGTGGAAGGTTGCAATGCCTGCTAGGTGGACCCTGATTGTGCTGAGGGAGAGATGTGATTATTTGAGGTGCAACAGGTATTCCAATACAGCAGGCAGTGGAGCATTTTGCGGTCATATGTCATGAGAAGTTGCCCAGTGAAGAAATCGAGTCCATTTTCTCATGTGTGTTTTTCTTGTTGCAGGTGCTCTGCTTTGTAAGAGGACATCACGGACTTGTTGAGAGCACTGCAGTTCTATGCCCATGAACCATCTAGGTACCACGCCTTGAGATGGAGTGTTCAAAACTGTGGGTGAGGATACATGATCCTTGGATGATAAGAATGTTGGGATCGTTCGGAAGCGTGATTGGTCTATGTACTGCTAGCCTGTGTAGGAGGGGGAAACCATGGCTGTCGGGGCAAGCAGGGTGCAATCAGAATAACTTTTGCTTTGTCGTTCAGAATCTTTACGGGGACTCTTTTGAGAAGAGGAAATGGGGGAAAAGCGTAATGTAGGAGCGTATTCCAGGTTATACCAATAGCATCCCTGGAGGACACTCTGCCCATGCCCGCCCTGGAGCAATAACTTGGGCATTTTTTGTTGACTGAAGTGGCAAATAAATCTATATCTGAGAAACCCTATTGGTTGAATATGTTGGTGAGGAGTGCATAGTCGAGTTCCCATTCGTGTTCTTGTGGCAGGGCTCTGCTAAGGGCATCTACTGTTGATTTGAGGACCGCAGGAAGGTGGCAAGCAGATATGCAAATGTCTCTGGCTAGGCACCAAATTCCAAAGTGCTGTATCTTCCAGGCATAGTGTGAGAGATCATGCACCGCCTTTCCTGTTTATATAGAACATGTATGCTGTGTTGTCTGTGTATATTCTTACGTGTACTCCCATGATACTGGGTAACGGTTCTTGGCATGCCAGCGAACTGCCCTGAGTTTGAGGGCATTGATCTGGAGCATGCGGTCTGCCAGAGACCATAGGCTGTGTATCCTTCTGTATGGGCACCCCAGCCCGGTAAGGGATAAGTTTGTAATGACAACTACAGATGGATTCAGGGGGTCGAAAGGGGATGCCTATGCACAGGCTGCTTGATTTTGTAGGGATGCTTTCACTAGGTGTGATAGTGTGATCATTTTGTTCATGATGGATGTGTGGCTTGTACTTGTGCTGAAGCCAACCTTGGAGGCATCTCAAAAAAACGTGCACTTTGGACCACAGGTTTGCATGATGCCATGTGACCTAATAGCAGTCGTAAACCCTTACTACTGGCATCTCTTAAAGCGATTTTGCCAGTTGACTGATGCAAGTGAGTCTGTCTGTCGGTAGAGCGGCTCTGGCTGTGATTGAATTGAGCTGAGCGCCGATTAACTGTAGTGTTTGGATTGGCGTGAGTGTTGATTTGCCGTAATTTATTAGGAAGCCTAATGATTGAAGGCAGGTTATCAGAGTTATGGTATCTTGATGGCAGTGTTGTTCAGTCCTTGCTTTGATAAGACATTCGTCTAAGTACGGATAGATCATAACTCCGCGTTTTCTGAAGTGAGCAGCAACAGCAGCTAGCATCTTTGTGAATACCCTTGGTGCAGTCCACAGACCAAAGGGCCGTGTACTAGTAGTGTTGGAGACCTAAAGTGAAATGAATAAAATGTCTATGAGAGGGGCAAATAGATACATGAAAATATTCATCTTCGGTTAGAGAAAAGAAAACTAGTCACCAGACTCCAGAGCTGGGATAATAGTATTTAGGGTGACGATTTTGAATTTCTGTTTCCTTATGCATTTATTTAGTAACCAAAGATCAAGGATCAGTCTCCAACCACGTGTGTTCTTCTCTATGAGAAAATAATGTGAGTAGATATGGGTTCCGTGGAACTCTTAGGGTACTGGTTCTATGGCTCCTAATTCGAGAAGGTGGTCAATTTCTTGTTGCAATATAATTGTGACAGGGGTCCCTGAAGAGGGACAGAGTGGGAGATTGGGGAGGGGTAGGTGGGAGGGAGAGAAAAGGGAAATTACTACCTAGGGGAGATAGTTTGAGTTACCCACTTATCAGTGGTAATAGATAACCAATTTGAAAGGAAAGGTAATAAAATAGGAAAGGTTTGGAACCAATCTCAAGCTCTGGTACATGTGGTATAGTTTTACATCTCTCAACTGTTGTTTCAAATTTGCTTGCTAAGTTGGGATGAGCGGTTGGGGTTACTAGTCTGAGGGCACAGTCTAGGTTGGTACAGAGCATGGTCTTGTCTCTGGTACTGGTAAATGAGTTGTGGGTACCTGGGTCTCTGATATGGTTGGCACCTGTACGGTCTCTGACTCATTATAGGGATTTGGATACCAAGTGAACGCAATATGGCTCTGGAATCTTTCATCGATTAGAGCAGTTCATTGGTCTTTACAGAAAATAGCTTTTCTCCATTGAATGGAAGGTCTTCTATTGATGGTTGCAGTTGGCGGGGAAAAGCAGAACTGTTGAATGACGAGGCTTAGTCCTTGTAGCTGTGTCTGCTGCATCAAGTGCAGCTTGCAGGGCTATCCGTGATATTATCTGGCCTTCTGAAACAAGAGCCTGAAACTGTGCCTTTTTACTGTCAGGGATATCTTCAATAAAAGTATTGAATTTTGTATAATTATTGAAGTCGTAGTTACTTAATAAAGCAGCATATTTCACCACTCTCATCTGAAGAGTGCCAGAGCCATAAAACTTCTTTCTGAACATATCCAGATGTTTATTGTCCTTTTCGAATGGGGTGGAATGATTTTGCTGTTTGTTTCTCTGCTGTGCAGTGTCTACTGTGAGGGAGTTGGGTGGAGGGTGAGAAAAGAGGAATTGAGAACCCTTGGGGGGAACATAGTATTTTCGATTGGCTTTCCTGCATGTTGGTGGGATGGATGCAGGTGTTTCCATAGGTTTTTAACAAGCTCCAAGATGGCTGGGTTAATAGGAAGTGCCATCGTTGTTGCTGTACTGGGCTGGAGGATGTTAGGGAGTTCATGGTGAGAAACCTGAATTTCTTCCATAGATATGTAACCCTTCTGCCGGGTAGGCCTGGCAGTAACCAGGGCTGGGTTCAATATCTTGGGGTCCATCTCACATAGAACTGGCTCGAGCCTCCACCCAGTAATCTGGGAAATTCACGCACCCCTGAGTGCCTCTGAGAGGCAATGCTTCCCCACTCACAAGCACTGAGTCTGAGTGTAGGAAAGAAACATTTAATGAAACAGAGAGAGAAGTCATATGGCATTAACTTGGGGAAAACACCATAAACAGAGTTCATAACCCAAACATGAGCCAAGTCTCCCCCCCCCCAAGAATCGCCTGAAGTCCAAAGAGTCCGACACCCCAAAAATCTCTGTCACTGGTCC